CAAAATGTCTTATTGCCGTCTTACTGCCGTCAAGATTCATAGTTGCTTTGATTCCTAAAATCAGTTTAATACCGGCTATCACTACCTCGAGAGACAGACATTCGCTCTAGTTTCCTTATTCAGTATTCCAATAAAACCTTCGTAAGCGAATTTCAAGCATAGCTGCGGTAATAGGAAGATTAGTGATGGAATCTAGAATGATTATTGTATGATTTATTGATACTGACTGGAGGATTTGGCCGTGTCAAATGTCTGTTTCAAACTGATTGCGGTATGATAATCAGATGAATAAGTGAAGCTGCAGTGGGTGCTTCATTTAAAATTTTTAATCCACTGATAATTCTTTAACTGTGATAATTGTTACTTCATGAATTGTCATTTCGATTTTTCAGTCACCTGAAAAGATAAAAATCCATTGCCAATTATTATTCAGCCAAAAAAACTATCGGCTTAAAATTCTCCTTCTTATTGAGTGAGAGGGATTGCAGAAGTTCTTGTTTTTTTTTCTGCAGAAGGCAGCGCGCTTCGTCGATAGCGCTTGATATAAGATATAAAAAGTATTCCACCTTTAATAGTAGAGAAATGACTAAAAGGTTGAAAAGTAGGCGTTTGTTTGGGTGATGATGCTCATTTTGATAGCGATCATATTATTTTGACAACACAACACTCAAACGGTCAAGTGAAATTTCCTGAATTAAAACGGACATTTGCCTTTGGTGATCGCTAATGAGTTATGTGCGAAAACACTTTACGTATTGATGAGTTTTGTTTTGGTGCGATCGAGAACGATAGATGCTCTTTTCGCAGTTACTCCGAAAGGCATACTTTACGACTTCAACAATTGTGAATATGACTGGTAAATTGGTTATTAGACACGTTCATTTGTATCGAAACGATGATTCACTGCATATTCGAACATCCCTTAAGTCAAGTTAATAGACAAATATCCAACTCGATACGATATTCAGCTGTCAATTCGTTCGATTGCGACGATTAGTTTTGCTTGCGAGCGAATGCTTCATCAGTCGTTGAGAAGTGACATTTGTGTGTTGTTTTTAATTCGGTTTATTGATGAATATAGCTCAAAACTTATATCGTAAAAAGAGGCTTTGAAGTGGGTACGTAATCACTTAGGTACGAGGTGTTTTGCAATGAATGAGCTTCATTTACGTCACAAATACATCTTATTTGTTGCACTTGTTGGTGAATATTCTCAGAGTTATTAATCGTCTTCATCATGTATCGAGAGCTACGCATTTGCCAGTTCAGCATCTGTGTTTGTGTTTTCGTTGCTGTTTCAAACACGTATAAATGTGCACGATAAGTTTGATGTACGGCCAATGTTTTACGAAACCTTGTCGATGTTTTGTCTTCGGATGTGAGCACGCATGAGCTGAAGCGTGAAAATGAACTCTCTATCATGTTAAAGTTACACGTTTCATCATTCTCTCAGGTCGTTCGAGAAACTCGAGTAGCTCATTCCACTTTCACGCCAATTGAATAACCAAAGTTTCGAAACTGAAAAATGGCAATGCCGTCAAAATGCCAATGGCAATTGTTAATGAATTGTTATAAACAGCAAAATCGTTGTTCAAGATGTAAACAGTTCTGTGCGCAATGGTGAGAACTTTAGTGCGACTCTGAATGAACACTCATTAATTGAAAACACAAGCGTTACTTCGATATTACTCTCCAAGGTATTGAAAATTTCTATTGCCAGTGCATTTGTACGAAGGAAAGAAGGAATAAAGCTGCGAATGTGGTAAATATTGTGAAAAATTTCAGTTGAGGGCTCTCGACTGAAATTCAGGGACCATCGCAATTCTCCAGTATAAACAGGCGTTCGAATTTAATGATAACAGTGGAAATTGCTTGCTGATCATTTCGCACCTTTGAAAAATGATACTTTCATGTACCATTCATTATCAGACACTAAGCATTATCTCTTAAGAANTCGTCTGAAGCGTTATTCGGTTTTGTGCATAAAATCATACTTTATCAGCTTCTTGATGTTATCATTATGATTGCCGCAATAAGAATGATTGCTATTGGCATTACTGCTTCTCACAATAGATGTCAATTGTTCGGTTATCTTCAATCTCATTCTTCATTCGGCTGCACATTTGTGATAGATTGAATGTGTCATATTCTGCACCTCTCCATTCATTAGTTTCATTCAGCGATCAGCTGTTCCATTCAAACACTTTCAGATAGATGTTCACGCTAGCGCAGTGCAGGTTGCACGTTATCCTCGCACACTTTCCTCCGCCTCTTTTGCACTTGCGCACCGTAGCGTCGCAAATCGTCCGTCCTAACACCAGTTGCCTTTTCAGATGACCGACAAATGCTTCTAATTGTAAGAGAAGTCTAACCCCGTCAAAAGCACCGTGCCATTCAATGATGAAGCACGCGTTATCAAAAATTTTCGCGGTGCAAGTTGTCCTAGACCCGCACTCCTTCGTCGTAGTTTGAGGTTTTTCAACTATGTATGAACGGGCAGGCACTATAGCTGATTGCATTTGATTGAAAACAACCGTTTTGGTATGGTTGTTCAGTTATGAGGAGCGTTGATTATGGCAAAGTTTTAAGAAAGTATGCAATGTGATACGACGCGTCCACTTGTCTCCAGAACGCAGGCTTGTTGGCTGTCTGAAGTTTATTTCAGAATATATTCGCCAACAACGACAAATCGAGCGCAGCGTTTCGTTATTATTGTTCATTACTTTGATTGTGCATAAATGGGAATCGATTCATCCGAAAATGAATTTGATATTGCAATTTGATTTAGCTGTTTATTGTTTCGTTGAAAAGCGTTCTTTTATTTAGCGATCTTGTGGCCATACAAATGCCATAATATAACTGCATTTAATTCATTTTTAGTTGTTTGAATATGTTCTCATTCGGAGTCATTAATTTTTCAGGTTGTTTTTTGTATTACCTTGTTAAATTCTCGCTCTGCGCTGATCGTTGCGTTGCCATTTCGTGAAACTGTTTAATTTTTCTAAGCGTGCAATTTTCAGTAGCATATCTCATCAGTAAAACAACATTGAATGAAAATCAGCTGAAATAAGTTGCGAATTCTGAATTGCACTTTGGTGTTCTGCGTTACGGAAGTCGTCGATAATTTCGGAATGCTTTCTGAAGTATTGGAAGAGAAGCTGAATGAAATTCGTAATGAATGTGATTTGCCGAATGCGATCATAATCACTAATGTACCAGAAGAGGTACGATCATCGTCAATTTTTTTAAAAAATAATCTTTCTAAATTTTCGCCTCTCTTTCAGCAGTTGTACTGATTCCTTTGTATTCAGACTACAAGCATTTAAAAACGATAACAAATTTTTATCTTACCTCATTTGTGGATAGCAATTGACTATAACATTGGTTTTATTTCATATTGAATAGCCGTTTATTTTCTGTACTACAAACATCTCAATTCACTACTCACATTTCTTATTCAGGTGTTCTCCAATGAAGATCAGAAGCGTAACTTTTCGTCTTTATTCACTCAAATCGAAGAGGATGCCCACTTTGATTTCTTGAAAAGTTTCCGTCGGATACGGATCATATTCAGCAGCCCAGAGAACGCTACTGCTGCAAAATTGCTTACACAACATCTTTCGTTCAATGGAGCGCTACTGAAGGCCTTCTTTGCCCAGGTTAGTAAGTTGTGAATGATTGGTTGAGTGGTACGTAAGTGGATTACTGTTCGTTTATGATTTAATGATGTCCTTAGGCGCTCATCTCCACAAATTCTTTATCATATTTGTGGTTTAATCTTTGTGAGTAATCCATCTGACCGGCTTATTGAAGCGTGTTCGTCTGCGAGATGCCTCAGATGATGGCTTATTGAAATTGCCACCACTCGAAAAGCAATTTCTAATATCACCACCTGCATCGCCACCTGTTGGATGGGAGCAATGTCATGAGATGGCACCGGTTGTTTGCAATTTTGATTTAATGGCACGGTTAGCTGCATTCACAATCGACGATAACTATGAGGTTAGCTGAGTGCTTCATTTATCAGTTGTTGATTTATTAATTCACTCGCAATAAATAGGGATTCACTTTCTTGTTTGTCTCTATCCCTTCACAAATCCGTTTGTAGCCATGTTCACACATCTCTTTTCATAACAACGCAAATAGATAATTAGATAGAAGCCAGATCATAGCCTGGCTCAGATTCGGTAATGCTGATGACATTGGTACATTGCTCTCGGTTTTGAGCAAAACTTTCGTTTCTGTCGCGGGTTCGATTTCTGCCAGTGGGGGAGTGTTTCTATCGGAACGGGGTAGTATACCAATATCATGATAATTTAAAGATATCCATTCGCTCATTTCCTCAAATTCTATATCATATTTGTGGTTTAATCTATGTGGAGAAAATTCAGGTTTCATTTTCACATTTTGCAAGACAACGCACCTCTTGAATTTTAATTATTTCATGATCAGGATTAGTTGAAATGGTACTATATGTCATGAAATTCTGCCGATTTTATCGACTTTTGGAACATGTGTGGATAAGCTTTAGCGTTTTAATGGTGGATCACTTTTTAAATCGGACAACATTTCAGTTTTCCGTAACAGTTGAAATTTCAGGTTTTCGGTGGTGACGTAGATAAGCCAAAAATAGTTATTCATCCAGCAGAAAGTGCTGAGGATGAGGCGATAATCCCTCCTCAGGCCTCATTGCCACATACACCTCGACCACCGAACACACCCCGACCTTCGTCGGATGACGAAGACTCTGCATAATACTGACAAACCACCTTCCTGCCCATAACAAATCATGCATCACCGTACTCTCTTCATTGCAAACCCCGAGGCTTGTATTTTTCGCATTCGTCCAAGAATGGACTTACTTTCAAAAGAATGCAGTAATTTAATTTACCATATCTGAATTTCATTTATTCTATTTTCACTCACGTTTATAATTTGAAACGAATTATTCACATATATCTTTTGAATCTATCTTTTGATATTTATGCTGAATCTGTTACTGACGGTCATTCTTTTCTTTGATCGTTTCGAGACCTTTTGTTGCTGATATGTCTGAGTTCTCTAATATGCGATTTTAACTGAATTTGAAAGTGTTCAGTTTCCTGAAGACATGACTATCGATTGTTCGAAATTCATTATTTGTACTGTTGAAGGGGTTATATTCACTCAAAAGTTAATTTATACATCTATTATATCTCAGTTATTTAATGCTGTTTTGTCTCAGCTCTAGTCAGTAATTTATTTTTCTTTCTTGTTTCAGTCGTATTCAAATGAGCATGATACATTTGTAACATACATTGTATATCCATTACTTTATTAGTATATTATTGTTAGTATCTGTGTCGTTGGTATCTGAAAAAAGTTTCCGTCTGAATGATAACAATGATAATATTTGTAATATTCGAAATCGCAATGGAAATAATGATACAAATCTTCCAAAAAGAACGATTCCCTTCAAATTCTTACTGTTTTTTGCGTGAATTGGGGATCGAAGATGTTTACTCCCCGCGTTCATTTAATAGTTGAATTGATCAAATTGTACTTGAGTATGTGATTAATCGATTCGATTCGAAAATAAATATTCATTCTGAATGTCAAATGAGTTCAGTTTATTGGCAACAAAAGCATTATGATTTGAATAAGTGCCCCTTCAGAATCATTTGAAATTATCAAATTTACCGTATAAGGCACATGGAGATGAGGCCGCATATCTTGTTTTGCCGAAG